CTCTCTCTCTCTCTCTCTCTCTCTCTCTCTCTCTCTCTCTCTCTCTCTCTCTCTCTCTCTCTCTCTCTTCTCTCTCTCTCTCTCTCTCTCTCTCTCTCTCTCTCTCTCTCTCTCTGCCTCGTCCTCTTTCTCCCACGAGCGCGCTTTCTCGATTCTCCGCCCCATGTCAGGTTATTACCTCGGATCTCCGTAAGAAATCCTCATGACGAGAGGTGTAACACTACAGTCCGTGTTCTCGTGCCTAGGTCCGCCATTGCTGCTGTCCAGCCCGTGACGCAGACCGGACAGCGAACCGCTGACGCTCAGGGATAGCGGCGGGCCCCCGTTGCGTCGCGGTCGTTCGCCGCGGATGCTATGGCGTCGTCTAGCGACGCACTCCTGCGTGAGTAGCGTCAGAAGCAATAGCACGACGCACGTGGTTTCTGAAATTAAAGACGATTTTCAAGCGCATTAATGAAATGTTGACGTAGAAAAAACAACGTCGAGAATTATTTTGTGCTCGCGTGCGATTTACTCCTCTCTCTTCTCTCTGCCTCTCCACTCCCTCGCTTCCCTTTTCTCTATATCTCTTTCAAACACTCTCTCGTTCTTTCTTTCTCTCTCTCTCTCTCTCTTACCCTCTCTCTCTCTCTCGCTCCCTCTGTTTATCTGTCTCTGCCTCTCACTCTTTCTATTTGCAAGCCTTTACCCTCAGCCCCAATATGCTTGTTTGTGTTTCTGTTTACATTACCGTGTTATTTTTTAATCATTTTCCTCCTATAAAATTATTGAAATTGTTCTTAAAATTTAATTCACAGTAAATGTCTGTCGATTTTTAGATGGTAGAGTTATTGATAAACGATTGAACTGCAAGTTATCACCAATCAGTGGTAATTTCATTTCAATGTGTTATAAGACTCTAAATAAATTGACCTATTCCCCATGTCTATTCACCTAAATGTTTTATAACCCAGTTGCAACAGTCGCGCATATGAACACTATACATGTGCATGGTGAAATCTGATCTACATGCTTCACTTCGCTCGCAGCATCGCGCCACGATTCCCAGCTATGCTAATGTATGGGCAAATGGCGCTACGACGTCGGTCGCAGTTGACTGCCAAGATAATATTCTTCGGCCGTTCTTATACGTTCAAACTGGAGCCCGGCAGGCTGACAGCACTTGTGCGTGGTAAAATCTGATCTACATGCTTCACTTCGCTCGCAGCATCGCGCCACGATTCCCAGCTAAGCATCATGGTCGTACTATTCAGATTTCAATGCAATATTGATGTGTGTAATGTAGGCAAGTGACGGACGTGGCGTCATTGATTATTAGAAAATTATACTTATATATTAGTCAGTGACCACTCCCACCCCGCGCACGCACACACACGCACGCACACACACACTCACGCACGCGCGCACGCGCGCACACACACACGCACACAGCTCTGGCACATGTGCGGTTAATTAAATCTACGACTTAGTGAGGATTAGACGGAGACGGCGCTTAGCGGCGGAGTAAGACCGGAGTAATTATTACGGAGGTGTATCCCGTCGAGTCGGCATCCATATTGCACAACGCGTCGGCAGTAGCCGACGTCCGTAATTTTCGCCGACGCTCTGACAATTGGTCTGCGGCCGACATAAATGCGGGCGTTCTACGTCATCGCCGACCCGGCGGTCGCTGTTGCTATGCATTAATATCTACCAAGCTACGACCTCGGCGATGCGTCAGCCCCGCTAACAACCACGATGCACCTGTAATTAGACGTTCGCTTACGTCGATGTGATTCGTACGGAACTTTCTCGCGCGTCATATATGACGGGAGCTATCTAAGGCTACTAACCCCGGCCCGTAAGGGAGCGGAAGTATTCTCACTATCCATCACTATTCATCGTTGCCGCCGCTGTAACTGACGCGGTTTAATGAGGGGTGTAATCATTAAAAAATATATTAACAACAACAACAACAACAACAACAGAAACAACGGCAACAACAACAACAGAAACAACGGCAACAACAACAAAATAAAAAACAACAGTAACAGCGGCAGCAGCAGCAGCAGCAGCAACAACAACAACAACAACAGAAGCAGCAGCAATAACAACAACAACCACAACAACAACAACAATCACGACGGCGATGGCGATCGCGATGGCGATGTCTGCCGTAAACACGATATGAATAAGTTAGTGTGGGCACGTTCGGCACGTTAGGTTCGTACAATTACATTAGCACTAGTCGTGCATACGAGCGCGATTTTAATATAGCCTAAAGCTTCCCCATTGCCCCTTTCCGACATTTTGTTGAAAATTCTAACGGATGCATTTCGAGTGAGAAGTCCAAGAGCGTTCTTGCGTCAGATGGGCATCCCAAAGGACACGACATTGAAAGTGTTCGACCGTAATTAAAGCAGAAGAAAATCCGTTTACCCGCAAGCAGCAGAAATCAGCATGAATCCATAGCAATACGACGAAAGTATACCACGCAGAGTCGTGCAGGGCGATGAATAGAAAATGTGAAAGCAACCTTACGCGTAGCAGCTAGAGCCTACATATTCGCGACAACGACAGACAAACAACAGAGAAAAGCACGAGGACAGACAAGGCGGAATGCGGATAACATGGAAATGCAAGAATATAGTACTATATGTACGAATAGACACTATATATAATACGTAACGGGTGATAAACGTATCCTCAAGTATAGAGTAGAGTCGAAAGCACGAATTTTACGCGATGAAGGCACGTTGAATTGTTAAAAGCATTCTATCGCGCTCACTAGATATCAAGTTCCAACACAAGTTTAAAGATTTCATCCAATTTTTTATTTGCATTAATTGAACATTAATGAATAAAACTTTAAACATTAAATAACGATAATGCGATACAGGGTTTAGGACTATTATGTTTATTAAAACTCATAATTCAGCCTGTTTAAGCCTATCGTGTGTTTTATCTTAATTACTCTGTAATAATGCCTGGGTAATTAAGTAATTAGGTGCATAAACGTGCCTAAAGGCTGCTTAATTACAGCGGATAAGTTAATAAATGCTGTCAATAGGTTTCTTTATTCTATTCCTGGAATGTTGGGAAATCCCAGATACATAGCTTTTGTTCTAGTAATTAGCACAATTGCGTTTAAACTATATCGTTAGGTCTTCACTGTCATCGTTCGTGGCGCTGTTGTCGCATCAGTTTGTCACGCAGCTAAACGATGGCTATTATGCGAAAACAGTTACTATGCTCGCGCAAATTGTTTTTAATTATAAAATCTCAAACGTATCATGTTAGCTTGAATTTTTTGACACTCGTTATCCCGGGTGAAAATCTGTTGAATGAAAAGCTTGAGGTGCGGTGGCGCGAGGGCGCCGCCAGGTTATAGAGGCGCATAAGCCGTATGCTGCGGCCGTGGAATCATTTGCAGAAGCCGGGCTTTACTAGGGATCGCTACGATGGGAAAATGTCTCTTCTAGTAAGGTTTTAGTTCGTAATTGATCATAGGTCGCCACGTACATTTTAGACTAATATACCAGTAGTAGCTTGACATCTCAACAAAAAAGATTATATCGGTAATATTTCATTACGGACCTACTGACTTACTATATATTTCGTTACGATATAAACTAGTCAGTCTTATAATCAGCCCGGTATACGAACAGTCTAAACCGTTTGCAGTTTAAAAGCAGGCATATTTTTTAATGAATTTTGAGATCGTTTATACTGCTTCTTGCGATATCGACGAGGTTATTTGTGGTTTCACTCTAATGCGCTAGTAATAGTTTTTACTAAAGGATTTACGTTGCCCTATCAAATTACAAAACGCCTACGCCACGTAGTTTCTGCTCGTATAAACAGCTCACTTAGGTATCTATTATCTAAATAATAATTTGAGTAGTGTCGTTCTGTTTGTTCCTGCATAACTTCTAGGCGCGTGCACGAATCCGGCTAAACATTTTCGTGCTTTATTCCTACGCATCAGGTTCGATTCTAACACTTTGCCTTTTGTTATTTATTGGGTTAAATGTTAAAAAAAAATCTAATGGGAAATCCCCCTGGAAAACATGCACGATTCAGTTCACTTCCGCTAGGTGCGCTCGCTGTAGACTTACAAACACGCAACCACAAGCCGTCGTCGTCATCGTCATCGTCGTCGTCATCGTCATCGTCGTCGTCATCGTCATCGTCGTCGGCGTTAATTCGTACATCGCCCTCATCAGCGCCATCGACATCATTCTCGTGATCATTGCATGTTACGTTCTTCTATAAGGACTCCATCGATGGCTCGATCCATTCCGGGAACATCGGACGTTCGAACCCCCAGATGATCTCTTCTTTCCACTCCTCGTACGGGAGCACAGTACGCGGGTAATCTATCCAGCTGTGGTTAGCTTCTGACGACATAAGTTTATCTTTCAACTGCTTTTCGAGGAGCGATTCTACGTCGTCTGTCATCATGCGAGTGACGCCCACGTCATCTATAGTGCCGTTCATCTGTATTAGAAGCTTGTCGACGTCAGCGAAGAAAACATCGTCACCAGATGGCGACACCTTGTTGTTTATCGACGCAGACAGTTTTCCGTCGGCGATAAAGCGATACTGCCCGTGGGAACGCTTCTGCTTTGAATTCTACACGAGGAAATGAAGCTATAGCTATTATTCGCTATTTTCTCTGAAACGTTGTCTCAAAACACATCGCGATGCTGGCAATATAAAACCAAATTTAACTCTAGGTTAGAGCAAAAATAGATAAAGATCAAAGACGAAATCTTGTGCTTTCGTGTTAAAACATAAACTGTTAACTACTATAGAGGCACGCAGACAAATCCATTTATTTCACCGCATTTTCTTGTGCGTGATATCTTGAATGGGATAGAAAAGTCATGTCATTCTCGGGGAACAGTCTCAAAAGGAGAACCACGGATGCGTATTAACCGAACCCGTGATTTCTCCTGCGCGCATCAAGACTTGTGCGCGGGATCGGTTTACCTGATTCATCTCGCTCATTAGACGTCGCATCATGTCCAGGCTGATGTGAGTCTGACACGGTCGACACATGCACGCGGTCGCTCTCTTCACAAGCTTACGTATGACCGGCGGTCTCCGGCCTGGACACTGGATATAGACGACCGCCAGCGCCTGACTGGTCGGTTCGCAGCAGCTGTGAATGTACAGGTGTACGCGCGCGCGTGAGTGAGTTGGGGACAGTCTGACCGCGGTATATATGCTCGTTCTTTCTGCATGTATACGATGTTACCGTGTTATCGGCTAAGATACAGCATTCGGCTAATTGATTGATGATGATTGTTCCCTCTGAACCTAATTTTTCTATTGATTCAAAATGGTTTGATCACACCATAGACTTCAGACCTTTGCAAATGCAGATATAATAATGAAAGATAAATATAAATGAATCAATTTATATTTATTTACTTTTATCGTTCATTTATTTATCTATCTATCTATCCATCTATTTGTTTATATATTTATCTTGGTATGAATCACGCATACCAGACGATATATCAGCGTGATCGATTTTTATCAATATCATCACCAAGTTGTCTAGAAAGGACAGGAAACCGAGACACTCGGCAAGAAATCGTTCTCGCAGTTACGTTTACACTTCTCTCTTGCGTGGCACAGCGCTGTACAAGAGAGCATGAGTCTAACCTGCAATATCCCATCTGTCGGTCCGGCCGTCGGTGGTCGAGACGAGTGTAGCTCACGCATGCGCCGAGACACCCAGCTGAAGGAATCTCTACCGGGATACACCTGTACCGAAAAACAACATCATTACATGTGCGCAACATCAGCAACACGACACGTTGCAAACAACAAATTTGTTTGTTTTTTCAAATTCCTTGTTTTCCTGGTATACATACCCGCTGTGTATCGCCTTTGCTTGGTCTCCACATTTCCACTATCTCTATAACTGTTTGTCTTCTGTTTTTCTATCGTTCTGCCTTCTTCCCTCTTCGCTCTCTTCCTGTCCCCCCCCCTTCTCTTTCTCTTATCGCTTTCGCGCTCTCTCTCTCTCTCTCTCGCTCTCTTTCACACACATACGTTCTCTCTCTCTCTCTCTCTCTCTCTCTCTCTCTCTTCTTTCTCGTCTCTGCCTCTCTCTGCTCTCTCTCGTCTCTCTCTCTCTCGTCTGCCGTCGTCGCTCTTTTCCTCCAACGAGCGCCTGCGCTTTTCTCGATTCTCCGCCCATGTCAGGTCATTAACCTGTCTCCGTAAGAATTCCTCATTGAGAGGGTGTAGACACCTACAGGTTCGTGTTCTCGTGCCTAGGTCCCCATTGCCTGCTGTCCAGCCCGTGACGCACGACCGAGCAGCGACCGCTGACAGCTCCGGGATAGCGACGGGCCCGGGGGGGGGAGAGGTCCCCGTTGCGTTCGCGTCGTTCGCGTCGGCGATGCTCATGGGTCGTGCTAGCGACGCACTGCCTGCGTGAAGTAGGCCGTCAGAAGCAATAGCACAGAGCAGGCAGGTGTTTCTGAATATCGTAAAGACGATTTTTTAAGCGCATTAATGAATGTTGACGTATGAAAAAACAACGTCCGAGGAATTATTATTGTGCTCGGTGTGAATTACTCCTCATCGTCTTCTCTCTGGCGATCTCCATCCCCTCGTTCCCTTTTGCTCTATACTCTGCTTCAAACACTATCTCGTTCTTGTTTTCTCTCTTCTGTGACCTCTCTCTCTCTCGCGCCCTCTGTTTTATTCTGTCGTCTGCCTCTCACTCTTTGCTATTTGCAAAGCCTTTTACCCTCGAGCCCCAATATGCTTGTTTGGTTTTCTGTTTACATGTACCGTGTTATTTTTTAATTATTTTCCTCCCTATAAAATTATTGAAATCATGTTCGTAAAAATTTCATATTCACAGTAAATGTCTGTCGATTTTTTAGATGGAATAGTTATTGATGAAACGATTTGAACTCGGCAGTTATCACAATCAGTGGAATGATTCAATTTCAATTGGCTATACGAGAAACTCTTAAAATCAATTGACCCTATTCCATGTCCTATTCAACTCTAAATGTTTATTATCCCCAGGTTTTGCAACAGCCTGCGCACATGGAAACTATTATATAACTTTGCAACCTTGTGCATGTAAAATCTGATCTAATAAGCTTGCTCGCAGAGCAATCGCGCACACGATTCCAGCTATGCTAATGTGATGGGCAAAGTTTGCGCTACGACTCGTTCGCAGTTGACTGCCAAGATAATATTCCTTCGGCGTTCTTTATACGTTGAATGAGGCGGGCAGTGCTGACAGCACGTGCAGATAAAATCTTATCTACAGGATGCTTCACTTCGGCTCGCGAGCATCGACCACGATTCTCACTATGCTAATGTATGGGCAAATGGCGCTGCGACGTCGTCGCCTTGTGACTGGCCAAGATAATATTCTTCGGCCGTGTCTTATTACGCGTTCAAATGTGAGCCGGGCAGTCTGACAGCAACGTGGGCATGATAAAAAGTCTTATCTACACTGCTTCGACTTCTCGCTCGCAGGCATTCGCTGCTCACGATTCTCATGCTATGCTAATTGTATGGGCAATGGCGCTGCGATCGGTCGTCGCGCTTTGACTGGCCAAGCATAATATTCTTCGGCCGTTTCTTATACGTTCAAACTGGACCGGGGCTGACAGCACTTGTGCGTGTAAAATCTGATCTACGATGCCTTCACATTCGCCTGCAAGCATCGCCGCATCGATTCCGCTAGCTAAGCATAGATAGGTCGTTCCTATTCAGATTTCAAGTGGCAATCTTATTGTGTGTAATGTAGGTCAAGTGACGGATCGTGGGTCATTGATTATTGAGATTAAATTACACCTATATATTAGTCAGTGACATCCAGCCCCGCGCACTGCACACCACACGCGACACACACCCACACACACAATCGCACGCACGCGCGCACGCGCCGCGCACACACACACAGCATCACAGCTTCTGCACATGTGCGGTTAATTAAATCTCTACGCACTTTAGTGAGAGATTAGACGGAGACGGCGCTTTTATCGCGGAGTAGACCAGAGTAATTATTCGGAGTTATCGCCGCCGATGTCGGCATTCATATTGCACAACGTCGTCGGCGGTAGCCGACGTCCGTAATTGTTCGCCGACGCTCTGACATTCTGGTCTGCGCCGGACAATAAAATCGGGCGTTCTATCGTCATCGCCGACCGCGGTCGCGTGTTGCTGGATGCAATTAATATCTAACCAACTACATTTCGCGATGCGTCAGCCCCGCTAAACAACCACGATGCACCGTTCGCTTACGTCGATGTGATTCGTTACGTGAACTTTCTCCGCAGCGTCATTATATGACGGGGCTATCTAAGGTACTAACCCGGTCGCTAAGGGACGTTCTCACTATCCATACACTATGTCATCGGTTGCCGCCGCTGTAACTTGACCGGTTTAAGAGGGGTGTAATCATTAAAAAATATAATAATCAACACAACAATAACAGAAACAGACGGCAACAACAACACCAGAAACAGACTGGCAACAACAACAAATAAAAACAACAGTAACATGCGCAGGCAGCAGCAGCAAGCCACAACAACAACAACAACAACAGAAGCAGCAGCAATAACAAAACAACCACAACAACAAAACATCACGACGGCGATGGCGATCCGATGCGAGTCCTGCTGCGTAAAATCCGAATGTAATAAGTGATGTGGGCACTGTTCGGCACGGTTAGGTTCGTGACAATTACATTAGCAGCTAGTCTTGCATACGAGCGCGAATTTTTAATAGTAGCCAAAGCTTGGCCCCCACTTGGCCGCCTGTTCTCGATATTTTTGTTGAAAATTCTAAACGGACATTAGTCGAGTGAGAAGTCGCCAAGACCGTTCTTTGCGTCAGATGGGGATCCCAAAGGACACGACATTGAAAGTGTTCGCCCGTAATTTAAAGGCAGTAAGAAATTCCGTTTAACCCGCAAGCGCAGAAATCAGGCATGAATCCATAGCAATAATGCCACGAAAGTATACCACGCAGAGTCGTGCAGGGCGTATGAATAGAAAATGTGAAAGCAACGTTACGCCGTAGCTAGCTAGAGCCTACATATTCGCGACAACGACAGACAAACAACAGAGAAGAAGCCACGAGGACGACAAGGCGGATGCGATAACATGCGAAAATGAAAGAGTATACCCAAGTTTTAAAATATTAAAAAATTATGTACCGAATAGACACTATATAAATACGTACGGGTGATTAAACGTATCCCTCAAGTATAGAGTTATGAGTCGAAGCACGCCATTTTACGCGAGTGAAGGCACGTTTGAAGTTGTTAAAAGCATTTTATCGCGCTCACTAAGATATCAAGTTCCAACAATTAGTTTAAAGATTCTTCATACCAATTTTTTAATTTTGCATTAATTGAAGCATTAATGAATAAAACTTTAAACATTAAATAAACGATAATGGCGATACAGGGTTTAGGACTATTATGTTTATAAACTCGATATATTTCAGCCTGTTCGAAGCCTATCGTGTGTGTTTTTTCTTTTAATTTACCTGTATATAATGCCTGGGCAATAAGTATTAGGTGGCATAAACGTGCTAAAGGCTGCTTAATTACAGCGGATAAGTTTAATAAATGCTGTCAATAGGTTTCTTGTTATTCTAGTTCCTGAAATGTTGGATACCAGATACATAGCTTTTGTTCTAGTAATTAGCACAATTGCGTTTAATACTATATCGTTAGGTCCTTCACTGTCACCGGTTCGTGGCGCTGTTTGTCGCACCAGTTTGTCACGCAAGCTACGATGGCTATTATGCGAAAAGCAGTTACTATGCTCGCGCAAATTGTTTTTAAATTATAAAATCTCAACGTATCATTTTAGCGTCTGAATTTTTTTTGACAAATCGTTTTATCCCGGTGAAAATCTGTTGAATGAAAACTTGAGGTTGCGTGGCGCGAGGCGCCGCCAGGTTTAATAAGAGCGCGATAAGCCGTATGCTGGCGGCCGTGGAATCATTTGCAGAAGCCGGCTTTACTAGGATTCGCTACGATGGGAAACTGTCTTCTAGAGGTTTTTAGTTCGTAATTTGAGTCATGCAGGTCGCGCACGCTACATTTTAGATCTAATATACGCAAGTAGTAGCTGACAATCTCAAAAAAAGAGATTATATCGGTTAATATTTCATTAGCGGACCTACTGGAACTTACTATATTGATTTCGTTACGGAATAAACTATCAGTCTTATAATAGTCAGCCCGGATAATCGAAACATGTCTAAACCGTTTGGCAGTTTAAAAGGCGAGGCAGCAGTTTTGTTAATGAAGTTTTGAGATCGTTTATATGCTTCTGCGATAGTCGACGAGGTTAAATTTTGTGGTTTCACTCTAGATGCGCTATAATGATTTTTTAACTAAAGGAGTTTAAACGTTGCGCTATCTAATTACAAAACGCCTAAGCCACTAGTTCTTCTGCTCGTATAACAGGCTGTGCTTCACTTAGGTAATCTTATTAATCTAAAATATAATTTGAGTAGTGTCGTTGCTGTTTGTTAACTGCATAACTTTAGGCGCGTTTCACGAATCCGGCTGAACTTTTCGGCTTTATTCGCTACCATTCAGGTTCGATTCTAACACTTTGCTTTTCTTATTTTGGTTTATGAATGTTAAAAAAAAATCTATGGAACTCCCCTGGAAAAAC